ACTCAAAAATTCTCTCCGGTTGTTCTCTCAAATAATTTACGGAATAAATACACACAAATAAATAAATATATTCTCTCTTTTTTTGTGCGCGATTGAAAGAAAATTAAAGGGAATGACTGAATGATTTTGTTATTTTGGCGAATAGTTAAAAGAGAAAATAGTGAATTTTTTAAGTAAATTACCTCTTGTGAAAGCAAAAGTACATGTTATTGAAGAAAATATTAAAGAAAGTAAAAGTTGTTATTTTAATGACAAAATATTTTTGTGTGGGTGGAAATTTTTTAAAATTTTGTTTTGTGTTTTTGTAATTATTTTTAAATTAAATTATTTTTTGAAGAAATTGTTTTTAATTTAAAAATATAATTTAAAATGTAAGTACAACTGTTCAACCATTTTTGAAACATTAAAATCCGATTAAATATTAGTTCCACTCCGAAAACTTTTTTTGGTTTTCTGAATTTTTAAAAAAAAATTAATTTTTGAATTATTTTTCTCTCCAATCCGATTTACTTCCAATGATCCTTTAATTCACTACTTTATTTGTATTTCTCAATTTCCTTCTGCTTTACAATCCCTTAAATAATAAGCAAATCCACATCCATTTTTACGTTTTTTGTTATCGCGCCATAATACATATGAGTAGATGACCATAAACAGTTCTTACTTTTCTCTCCCTTATGCCTTTCACATTTATTTTGAATTAATTTTTCTTCTGATTTTCTCCTGTAGAAGGGTTTAAAAAATATTTTTTTTTCACATCTTAAATTAATCTTAAAAAATTTTTAGTTTACCTAATTAATGTTTTAACATTCTACGTAATTCATGCTACATATAATAATTATTTTAAAATTTTTATTCCTCACTCCATGTTTTTTAGAATATTAAATTAAAATTATTAACTAATTGAACTAAACAAAATAATCATGTGAATAAAAATATTTTTGTGTGTATTTTGCCTTAGTCTGATTGGGAATGCAGGGAGAGATTATCTAGTATGCGCGCTCACTCTTTATTCAACATCCATTCAACATTCATTCAGTCTTACTAAAAAACTGAGGAAAATGAAGAAAAGAGTGGGAGATTGAATTTTGTTTTTGCGGATTGAATTTGCGGACTAAAATTTTTGAGGAGACAGAAATGCACACACAATCCGCTTCTTTTCCCATTTATTTCCCCTGATTGCTTCTACATACTCTTCAGATTCTTCTTCCCCCTTCCAAATCTTTTTTTCAATTACCAACCGGCTGGTCCTTCCTTTGTGGTTTCATCCGATAAATGGACACTTTTCTACACAATTCCCCCACTTGTATTTGTTGCCTCTCTTTTTTTAAATGTTTGTTTTCCTCCAACTAAATTGGTTAGTTTATTTATGTAGAAACAAACTATTCTGCAATCTCATTTAATTTTGAATGCTTTTTTTATGGATATACCAAATCAAGTTTTTTTCAATTGGTTCTATACATTTTTTATTCATTCTTATTTTTTTATTTGTTATTCTTATATATTTTTATTATTTTCTATATATTTCCTTCAAAAACTCACTCATTTAGACCCTTTTTGACAATTTTGTAGATTCACCAATAATTAATTAAACCCTACGGAAGTTATTAACCTTGAAGTTTATGAAGTCTTAACTGAGTTTATAAAGTAAAATATTGTCGATTTTTGGTCTGTTTCTTATTAATTCTTTCATTGTTTTTCTATTAAATATATCAACTTTTAACAAAAATTTCTTTAAAAAAATTTTTATTAAAAATACTAGATACAAAAAAAACATTTTAAAAGCTTGTCAAAGTGCGCGTCTTGTTTCACAATTAAAAAATTGATTTTATCCTCAAAACAAAGTCGGGGACTTTTAAATAAAAGCAGTTAAAGCCACGTTAAATGCATGTTGACAAGAAATGCTTTTTCTTTCTTTTAAAAGTTTATTTGGTGGTAAATGAGGCGAGAAAAATAAGAAAAGAATTTTGTTTATAAAAATGTTTAACTTGTTTTTATGTTTAAAAATTTAAAATATTTTTATTTTGTTTTTACTTTAACTTTCACTAAAGTAAATTTTTGTTTTTATTTCTTATAAATAGAATATCTCAAAAATATTTTTACACGTTTGGGAAGTTGTTTTAGAAATTTTAATTCCTGTTTCCAATAAAAGATTAGGGATATCTGTTTAGGTAATAATATATTATATTTCTATATTTAAATACCCAATTAAATAATTTAATGAATATATTTTTAATAATCTACCTCTATGATTAAGAATTATTTTTAAATTTTAAAAATTAAATTTTTTTATAAACAGTTATGTATTAGTAATCATTTCTTTCACTAAATTTTACATATTTTTCTTTAACAAATACGGATCGTTAAATATTTTTATGACTTTATTTCTAAATATATAAATACTTTAAATATTAAAATCAACTATAAAAACAATATTTCTTTCTCTCAAAAATATAACTGTTTTTGATTATTTAAACAAGCAAAATCTTCTCAATTTATTTTTGTGTAAAAACGTAATCAAAAAAATTTTTTAGGCTCTCATTTATGTAATCCCCCCCTCCTCCCTTTTTTATTATTAACGATCACAAATAACTAAAATAATATAGCCCCACCCATTCCGCCAATTTTTTCAATCATCTAAATTCATTATTTATTTTATTTCTGTATATCAACCTGCGATTCTCGAAAAGAGTAAAAAGAAATAAAAAAAAAGATTTTTTATAGAGAGTATATTTTTTATTATTTTATTTATTTATTGTTATAATTGTTTACTCAATTGACAAATATTTTGGTAAGACAAGTAGAGATGTAAGTGGGGTTGTCGATTCTGGGATATCCGGAACTAACTCGGAAAAATCAACGTTCTTGTAGCAACCCTATTTTTAAGACTTTTCTGAAGGATATTATTAGTGAAATAATTTTTGTTTGAAATAAATTAAGTAAAATAAAATATATTTAAAGAAAATTTATTTAATCGAAAAATCTATTTTAATTAAATTCTGAATATTCTGTTTACTACTAAAATTGAATTTTAATTTAAAGTGAACGATTTAAATATTTTATTTCACTAATTTATTTCGATTCACTGAAATATTTTATTAAATTTGGTTTATTATTTTTTAAAGTATTTGTAGAATTTATTAAAATACATACTACATAAAGCAGTTTTGGAATTTAATTTTAATTAAAAAAAAATTTTTTTTAGTTTTTTTATTTACATTAATCAAATATTAAAATAATGGATTAATTTAATTTTGGATTAATTAACCATATATTTTCGAGGATTCTTTCGTTATTTATTTTCCTTCAAATATTTTTTGTCATAAAAATTTTTTAAAGAATTTTTTCGTTAGTTATTTAATTATTTCATCTCTTTTAAATAAGTAATAAACTTAAAATTTCTGAAAATTCTCAAAAATTTAATCAACTAAAAATAAATATTTTTAAAAATATGTATCTATTTATAACAAACCCAATTTTGACAATATTTAGTTTCTTTAATTTTCAAGTGTTTATTTTTTAATTTTGAAAATTATAGATAGGTGTATTTTCTATTTCTTATTTTGTTTTTAATTTTTTTCAAAACATTTTTTAAACAAAATTTTATTTAAAAATATCCTGATTCAATTAAATAACAATTTAATTTTTTAATTTAAAGTTTTCCTTCAAAATATGTATATTTGAACATTTTTTAGATAAGAAATTCTTTAACAATTAAATAAAAATCAAAATACATATTAAACAACAAAACTCATACACTTTAATTACTAAAAGTTTTTTTAATTTTAAAGTTAAATATTTAACGTATATTATAATTAAATTGTTGAAACAAAAATTTAAAAAAATATTTCGGCAAAAGTGATTTTTTGAACAACTCTAGAGTCAAAACTTGGGGGTAGTCTTAAAGTTTATTGGCATTTGTTTTTAGGCAATTTCGTTTTATTTCGCATTTCGTTTCAAATTTTTTAAAATTTTTTTGTTAAATAATTATTATTTTCGGTAAGACACAATTGTATAAATTTTCTGTGCTTAAACTCTTGTGAAAGTTGAAAAACTAGGAAATTTCAGGCGGTCTTAAAGTTTTTTGATTCACTGTATTTTTACTATTTAGGTATTTATAAATTAATTATTTTGTTAATTATTTTTGGTTGTTTGTTATTATAAAATTATCAAATTGTTTATTAAATTTTTTCTATTTTTTCCCTCAATAATTACATATTTTAAAGAAGTTTTTGTCCTTTTATTTTTTCAACATCTTTATATTTTTTTGATTTCCTTATACTAATTCGAGAAAAGAAATTTAAAAAACTATTTTCTCAAAAATAAAAATTAAAATAATGTTTGTGTGAAAATAATTTTTTGTTAAAGTTTTGTTCGCCTAACAATTTTTACTAAAAAATTTATTTATTTTTAGCTATCCGTATTTAATACTAAAATAATATTTTTTGTACTCCCCAAAATAAAAAAAATATTTTTTTCAATGCTTGACCATTATAAATGGCAGCTGAATAGATAGAGAAAGATTATATGTATGTATAACCAAAAATTCCCCCCCCCCCCCCCCTTTAATCGTTATATTGCGCGCTCCGCTCTATTTTTCAAATATGGGGCGGAAAAAGGAAATTATTTAAAGCTTTTTATTTTTTATTATTAATATTTGTTCATACAATTTAGAAAGCCTGGATATTTTATTTTACTATTTTAGACTTAAATATTAATTTTATATCAATTCTTTCCTATGTATATTTAATTAAAAATTTGTGATTTTCTTTTAATTATTAATTGTATATTTTTCATTTTAAATGCTTAAAGGGAAACGGGAATTTCTTGAATTACGTAAACCATCAAGCAATTACATTATAATAAATTGCTTGTTACTTAAATAATTTACATAATTATTTGTAAACAATAATTTATTTAAAAATATTTTGTATGCAAAAATTGTAAAGCATTAAAGGCACTTTCCACCCGACTTCATGGTCATCAAAAAAAACTTTTTTTTATTGATTTAGCCTTCCCTCAATAGTGGTTGTCAACAGCGTAAAATTAGTATAGAATTGCATGTGCAAGGCCGAAAGGACATATATATGTATTCACAAATCCTTTTTATTTCTCATTCCGCTCATTTTACACTTTTTACGTCATCTTATAGTTAAGGCAATTCTTAATGTAAAATAAATTTTTATTTTAAAAATTGTAGATGACCTGCTTTTGGCAAAATATTTTAGGTTTTGAAAATTATTGCGAAAAATGACAACATATTCCGCAAATTCCAACATCCAATTTCCATCCTTTTCCAATTTAAAGATTAATCAAATTGTGATCTTTAAATGACAACCTCCCTTCCATGTCATTCACCGTAAATCCCCTTAACATCTCAAAGCAATCCCTTCAACAATAAGTCCCTCAATCGAGGACTTATTGAATAATTTACAAATAAATTATAATAATTACAATAAAGCACTCTGGCAAACATTACCTCAAATGTTATTGAAATTCTTTTTACATTTTAATTGTGTATTCCTAATTAACATTAATAAATCTTATTGTCCCACGTATTTGACCGTTTTTATCTTTAAAAATATTTTTATCAACAGTTTCAAAGTAACAACTTGTTTTTAATTTTCACTCAATTTTAACAAATACCCCCAAATTCATTGACAGAATTCACAAAACAATTTTTTTTATTTTCGCCCAAAAAATATTCACTCGTCGATTGGTCCTTTTACATCTTTTTTCTTCTTCTTCTTCTCAAACAAGCCCTCTAAAATAACAACTCTTTTCATCCGCCCCAATCGTCGATTGCTCGTGACACTCTTACATTTTTACATGTTATATACACGTACACTAATAAGTTTTTAAGAGAATCTCTTCAGTGCGCGAATTTTCTGTTTTCTTTTTGATTGTTTTTTTCGATTTTAAATTTCGTTAATTGCTGAAATTTTGTTATTTTCAATTTTTCTTTATTTGCAGTGAAAAATAAATAAATGAAGGTGTTTACAGTTGGGCTGGATCAAAAGCCCGTTGAAGAAAATAAGGAGAAGACTGGTATGTTTATAGTATTTTTAAAATTTTTGTAATCAGCCCTAAGATCGAAATCATTAAAGGCCGTATATCTGTTGATTATCTTTGGGTATAGATAACCGCTATCTTTACGGTCTATAAAGTTTTTAATATTGTAATTGGCTTAAGCGTACGGTTGGGGGCAATCTAAAAGACATTTGACTGTGTATTAAACCTTTTAATAAAGCTGATCCGATCAATTCGGTTCATTAGATAAAGTCTATATTAATCAGGCCCATAGCCAGGATTTTTTTCGGGAGGGGGGCCAAGGGTGAAAAATTTTTCTGCGTCAATAATTTTGAGAATTTTAGCAAGCCCCCTGGCTACGGGCCTGATATTAATAACATAGTTATATATCAATAACATAGCCATCCCTCTGATGATTAATATTCATAATCTGAAGTATATAATTGAATTTCTAATATACTTTTAGACTCCCCTCCACCCGGCTATTCAACAACTGAAACCCGCATTCCTCTTCCAATGGGGCCTGAACTTCCACGTCCATCGCTTCCAATACCGCCTCCACAACCTATTATTGTGCGTAAATCTCGTGGTTATAAAGGAATCTTGCTTGTTATGCTTTCCGTCTTCGTTATGGCTATTTTTGCTCTTGTCCTTTCTGAGATGGCATATAGTCGCCAACGAGATGAAAACTATTTTAAACTCCGTTGGGCTGAATTAAAACAACGTTTTGGTTATGAAAATGATGGAAACGTTGATTACTATACACAGGCAGCTAATGCTATTAGTGATAAATTGCTTAGTTTGACTAAGAGGTTGGAAATTTGTCAAAAAATCATTTCCTTATCCATAAAAACTTTTATTCCCTTCTAGCAATGAAATCCAACTTCCACGTGTCCCTCAGTCAGCGTCTCTCGAGGAGGAGACAACCAGCAGCTCAACAACTCAGGACACCCCTGTAGTAGCTATTGATACTTTCCCAATGGCTCCATCAAAAATTGGCAATTCTGCCGATTCTTCAATTTCCCGTTCTTCACAAACATCAGATGAAGTAGAACCTCCACATCCTTTTTTCGGTTCCGGCAATTTTAATGGAGCTTTTAGTCAAATACGTGATGCACGTCTTAAATTTCTTCGAAATATTTTACAGAAAATTAAACAGCATGCCGAGGATATTGGCTTTGATGGAACTATGCAGGCATTTAATTTCAAATTTCTTTACTAAAATAAAATCATTGAAGGTTTCAATAGTCGAAGTTGAGCCCCAAAATAGTGACAGTAGCTCTACATCAAATGAAGATAATAACAACAACAATAATTTATTATCTAACGGAAATTGGCCTTCAAGTATTTTCCAACGTCCCCAACAACAACAAGTTCTTCAATTCCCTCAATCTTCTTCTGCTCATTTCTTCCCTCACCCACGCCCATTAGTTGAAGATTTTAAGGTTTAAATGGTCAAAAAAATTAATTTATAAATATTAATATATTAAAGAATTCTCGCTCTTTCCTTGATGGATTTGGTGAAATGCACCAACCATCTTTGTTTATGCAAAATAATCAAGTTGGGGAACAAGAAGAGCAACAACGCCCTCGTTTTTTCTCTCCATGGGCACTTCAGCAGAATGAATTACCATCATCACATCCAATAATGCCATCTGGGGATATGCAACAACAACAGCAAATACCTTCCTTTATTGACAAGTTGTAAATAAATTTTAATAAAATTCTTCTAAAATTTTTTTTATTTTTAGTCTTCGCTGGCCAAGAATTAATGGATTCCGTCAATCTGCCCCAGAAATGCTTTTCTTCCACCCTTTCTTCCAACCACAACAACAACAGCAACAACAAATGAATATGCGTTTCCCTCCTCCACCTCCTCCCTCTTCGGAGTGGGCTCATCCTCAACAAAATAGCTTTGGATTTGGTGGAAATTCTGGAGCTTTGCCTCGTCCTTCATCTTTTGAGCATTGGAATAATGGGGTATTCCAACCACAACAAAATCCAATGCCCCAACAACAACAACAAATTCCTTCAAGTATGGGAATGATGGGTGGACGTCAAATTGAACAACAACAAGTGCAACAGCAACCTCCACAGCCCCAACAACCACAGGTAATATAATTCTTTGTCCCCTATATTTAAATAGTTTTTATGTGACATTTTTATATTTGTCTGGACTTAAAAAATTTTCAATTTTCAGCCTGAGGCAAAGCTCTCTGCACCATCTGTTGTTATTGGCGATAGTGGAGAAGAGAAATCTCAAGTTGTTCAACAACCAGGACAACAACCACAACAGCCAAAACAACCAGAACAAAAAGAATCTTCCTGGATGACTCCAGATTTATTGCCAGCCTGGTTATTTGATAATCTCTCCTCTCGTAAATCAAACGCTGCTGGAGGCCCTCCATTGCCTCAACAACCCGCAGAAATGGCTCCTCCAAAATTCCCTTCTGTTTCAGTTATTGAGAATAACCCTTCTGGAAGTAAAAGTGAAAGTGATTCAAAATCCTCAATTGATGAGGGAAATAGTCGAAGCGACGAAACTGAGAATACTCCAAGCAGAATCTCAGCTGATGCATTGCCCGTTGAAACACCTAAAGTTATTGACATTGCACATGGAGAGATTGGAAAGATAAACAACAACAAGGATGATAAAGATGATGATAAAGATGACACCATTGGAAATTCTCACCAACCAGAAGAAGTTATTGAGGTTGATGCTGCTCCTCAATTAAATGAACAACAAACTGAACAGAAAAATGATGAACAGAAAAATGAACAAAATGAATCTAAAGATCAGAAGGAAGATCAACCAAAAGAACAGAAGGAGGATGAGAAGACTGAGGCAAAGCCAGTAAATGTTCCATTGCAACAACAAAAACTCTTCCCGGAAATGCCTTCTGTTTTCTTCCAGGTTTTTAAGTTCTCCCATTTATCTTAAGAATCTATTTCCCTCAAATGGAAAATTTTTTGATAAGTTACTTATTTAGATAACCTCTTAAGGCTGAAATTTCTTACCTAGTAAATTGAGGGTATCAATTGGGCATCTCTACAACTTCTGTCTAACCAATTTTTAAAGAAACTAAATTAATCGTATTCGACTTTATTTTAATTTTATCGCTTGAGCAGCTTCTTGTAAAATTAGAAAGCCCCCCCCCCCCCCCCCCCCCCCCCAACTAAATTTTTAATTTATTTAAATATTTGTAAAGGTTGATGACCCTGCTAATGATCACCAAGCGGCGGCAATTCAGCCTGCACAGGACAATCTCCATTTAGCAGAAAGAGCATAAAATATTTTAAAAATATTATTTTTTAATTTGTGATTTTATTTTTTATTTAATACATACATTTCTTTAAATCAAACACCACATGGCCTTTTGACTAAATTTAAAATCAAAAAGAAATTCCAAAAAAAATTCTCGTTTAAATATCTTTATTCCACACATATATACGTTATAAACTCAAACATACTATGTATTTGGTTTGTATTTTAATTTTAGTATAAAATTATTTTTTTTATTTATCTAAGAATCTGTTTAAAGAAACAAAAAATTAAAAAATAAACAGAACAATTTGTTAATTTAATCCTTTCGGACATTCAAGATATTGTTGTTACCTATTAAAATATTAAAATTACAAGATCTAAAATATGGAAAATTAAGTAATATTTATCTATAAGAGAGTATTGTTGCACAGACAAGGGATTATCTACTCTTGTTTCTGTCATCGCTTTACAAAACTTCATATTTTGGTCCAGTCAAGACATATCTGGCTTAAAATATTCCTATAAAATTTATCACTTTTTAATTTTATTTAAAACTTATTCCCTCTATATTTTTTTATTTAAAATTCCATAAATGCTCTCACCTGTCTACTTATTCATCAGCTTCTCCCTTCTCTTTCACTTAAAATTCGATGGAAATTTGCCGCGAATTCGCGTGTGAAATTGATTGAGAAATTTTTAAGAGAGGTGAAATAGACGAGTGAATAAATCCTCTAAAAGCATTCATAAATTTTAAATTAATTTATTAAACTTTTAAAACTCATGTTGTAATAATTATCAGTTAAATTAAGTTAGGATTTAAGAATTTATAAATTAGAAATTACCTATCTGACTTTCTGTTAAAAAGACTGTGTCTTTCTAAACGACACCGATTTTTAAAGCTATAGTATCTGAGCTCCTATGTTTTCTGACCGATCACAGATGATAATAATAATAATAATCAAATAATCATTATGAGAAATAATTTTCCTCATTCCCCCAATTAACTATTAAACCTCAAAAAATAAAACCTGATTTACTTCTAAATTACCCCTTTAATAATTTAAAAAGATATGTAAATATTAAGTTCTTAAAAGACTGTGTTGTGATATATCGGAGAAATCCTCCCTATCCTTCCTAAACAATCAAACACCTTTCAGTATTTTGCCTTGTTTTAGTCACCAATTTTTAATTTAAATTACTTTAAATTGAATTTATTTTTTAATTAAAAAATAATTTAAAAAACAATGAGTAACAACAACAATGCTTCTGGTAACTCAAGAATGAGCGAACTTTTTGATCAATGCGATCGTGGACAGAAGGGTTATCTGACTAAAGAAGATTTACATCAAGTTTGCCCGCAACTTTGTGATGAAGAAATTGTTTTTATTTTTTCTTGTTTGGATACTAACAAGTTTGATTCTTGTTTAAATTTGAAAATAAAATTATTTTTTTAAGTTCGGGGTTTATTGATAAAGAGGAATTTTGTGCTGGCTTTGAAGAAACTTTATTTAAAGGGGAATCACGTGGTTTTGGTGGAATGCATCGTAAAATTAGTTCGAACGAGTATTATGGGGATGCTCCAGAGGAAAGATTGGGAAGTCAAGGAAGGATGGAAATAGTTGAAGAAGATATAGAAAATGAAGTAGATGGTGAAGGAGGAAGTAATAATGAAGAAGGGACTAGTAAAGGAATACAAAGACGAAGGCCTAAACCTCCAAGACTTACAAAAAATCAGTCATTAAGAGGACCACCACAAATGACTTTGGATATTCCTTGGTAGTAAATTAAAATTAAAAAATCAAGAGATTAATAAGAGAGGGTGGATTAAATCTGCTCTTCAATTAAAAATACCCAATCCCGAGTAAAACCGACTTTGTCCCCTCTCCAAAACTATGATACATAGTACAAGATGTACTCTTATTTTTTATAATTTATTTTATAGTAAGGATGAAGTTCTACAGCTTTATGAGGAGCTCCAATCCTCTGGCGTGCCACAAATTATGAACCGATTTGAGGAAGTCGTAGGGAATTTATGTCGAGAAATAGACCAAAAACGCGATGAAAATGAAAAACTTCATCAACAACAAAGAGTGTAAAGAATTTTTAATTTTTATATTTAAAAATATTTTTTAAATTATTTCAATAGTGAACGAGAAAATTATAATAAGAGAATGCAGGCACTTGAAAATGAGATAGACCAGCAATTGTTAATAGCTGAAAAGAAGGCCCGAGAGGAGGTGATTAATTAATAATAAGTCTGTAATAATATTGAAATAGTAGCTGGATTCGATATTTTAACTTTTTTAGTCCATATTATATATAGATAATTTGGGTATCTTGATTTTGATTGGTTTGATTTTTGGATTTTTTATTAAGTCGGAGAAATCATTAGGAATAAATAAATATTTATTTTTCAAATTCAAACAGGAACGCGAAAAGTTGGCCAAAGAAAAGGAAGAACTAAAAGAACGTCTTGAATCTGAAATGGCCGAACTTCAAGGAAATATTGAACATTTACAAAAAATGGAAAAAATGTTGAAAAAGGAAGCACAAAAGAATGGAAATCAAGAAACTCTAAAAGAAAAATTGGAGGTAATTTTGTGGAATAAAATAAAAGTTTTAGTTGAATTTTGATAATTTTTTGATATTTTTAATTTAAATAATTATTTTAAAAGGATATTGCCAGAGAGAATCGAACATTGAAAAATAATTTGGCAGAAAATCATTTAGAAATGACTTTAATTAAAGCAGAATTGGCTGAAATTAAATCAGAATATGAGAATAAAACACTCTTACAATCTCTTAATGATCATAGCCAACCTAGTGCTATTGAAGCTGAACAAATACAAAGACAACTACAATTACTTTAGTAAATATTTATAGAAAAACATTTTTTATATTTTTTGTTTATAGTGATGCTAATAAACGTCTCCACGATACTAATGGGAATTTACGTGATGCACTTGATCAGAGGACTTCGGTTATTAAGCAAATGCATATGGTCAGTGTTTTGTCACTCAAAATAAATAATTGATATCTAAATATACCTATCTGATTAAAGTCCATTATATTGAGCGTTATAGTCTATTACAGGAGGATTACCTAATATTTAGATGTCCTTTACTCACTCTTATCTCTTTATCACTTAGCTACATCAGACTCCATCATTCGGCACTTATTTAACACCTTATTCTCGACATGACTCTGCAACTTCTTATCCAGATGGCGGTTCTTACTCTCCTGCTTCTCACCATCTCCCTAATGCGACGACAATTAATGATGACGACAATGGTTTGTAAATAGGGGGGAAATATTATTAAGGAAAGGAGAGAGAGATTAAGAGAGGGGGGGGGGGGGGGGGTAAAATCGAATTGTCTAGCGATCACGAGAAAAATATTTTTATTGGGTGATTAAAGATTAATTAAGAGAAATAACTGTTCAAAAGCTTTTTCAAATTTTATTACAAGGCAATAATATACAAAATTTATTTTTAACTTTGAAAATTATTTTTCCCTAATTTATTCAACAAAAATGGAGATAAATAACAGCAATTATTGGAAACAAATATATATTCCTCCATGGGACCTCTTAGCTAATAAACCTCCCCGCCAACATTTTGGCACCTCAGACAAATTTTCTCAAGACTCAGGATTCCCTCAACGTGGAGGCTGCTCACGCACTACATCCTCTTCTGATTTGGAATTATTTCGCTGTGCTTCTGTGGATGCTCAATCAACTATGACAGGTGGACTAGACCCTCACCAACAACATATGTTAATGATGAGGCAATTTCCGCCTGGCTCTAATATGATGAATGGAATGGTGAAAAAATTTGATTTTATTTAAAAAGTGCATTTAATTGCCAGACAAAAATTATTTCATAAATTAAAAAATATTTTCAAAAAAAAATCAAATTTTTTTGTTGATTAAATAAATCTCTTATTGGAAGCCAATTTTAGCCTTGGAATTTATGAATGATTTTTTAAATTAAATTCTTTAAAATTTATTTTTAAAAAATATTATTTTGCAGTGCATTCAAGAATTTTCGGGTACCCCAGATAGAACATTCCGTGTTGTAATGTGTGGTGATGCTTCTGTTGGCAAATCTTCAATAATTATGCGAATTATTAAAGGAGCATTCCAACCTAATATTGCCAGCACTTTGGGTAACATTTTAAAGGAAAATGTAAAAATTATTTTAAATAAATTTAAGGAGTTGATTTTCATGTAAAAAGTGTTAGAGTTGGTACTCAAAATATAGCTGTACAATTATGGTGAATTTAGAAAAAATAATTTTTTTTTAAATTTTATTTTTAAAGGGACACTGCCGGCCAAGAAAGATTCCGAAGCCTTTGCAATTCTTATTTTAGACGGGCTGATGGAGCTATTCTTGTTTATGACTGCTCTATAGATCGTTCATTTTTACGTATTCGTGACTGGATTGAAACAGTGAAGGTCGTAAGTGTATTTAAGTTGTTTGGTGACTGGAATTGAGATTCTCGGAACCATGATTCCCAGTCTAAAAAACTTCCTTCTCTTGCATTTAACTCTTCAATCTTCCCCTAATCATCCCCCTTTTTCTCAGTCACTATTCAAAATTATTTTTATTTTTCTTAAATTCCAAAAATGAATAAAAATAAATGAAAAAAGGATGCACAGGATTCAACAATGAAGGAAGTGCCTATATTGTTGGTTGCCAACAAAATTGATTTGCGCAATGCTCCAGGTGCTCATGAAAATGTTTCTAGTTTTGTTTCAAAAAAGGAAGGAGAAAATTTGGCCGAGGTAATATTCAAGGCCTTTTTTAAATAAATATTTTGCTGTTTTTTTAGTTATTGTCTACCGATTTTATTGAAACTAGTGCTTTAGATGGAACTAATGTCGAGACTGCTTTATTACTTCTTGTTGGGTTTGTTTTTAAAAAAATATTAATAATTAAAAAAATAATTATATAGTGCAATGATGAAATCGGAAGATGACCATTTAAAACAAACTGCGTTAATATTACAAAGTTCTGACAAAAAGAAATGGCGGTGTATGAGCTGTGGAAATTGAAAAAAAATTTTTTTTAATTATTATCTTTATACAAATTTTAATTATATATTTAGAGGAATTTATAGATTATTTAAATTCTTTCTTTATATTTTTATATATTTTATAGTAATGAAGCTATAACAACTTTTTTTTTGATTAAATAAATTCCATAAAATTAATTTATCCAAAAGTTTATGTCCCTCAAGAATCCTCCCATCTTCGAGATTATCCAAATTTTGATTATTTTCGAAAGAGCAATTTCGGCTTTTGATTGATATATTTAAAAATTTTTCTCTGTCTCTAATACAATATTTTTATAAATTTATTTTTTATATTTTTCGAGAGATTATATTTTTTGGCAAAGACATTTAATTTTTAAATTGCTATTTAAATTTCTGAAATATCTTCCCGCAATGTATAAAAAAGTTTTGTTTTGAATTTTTTTGTTTTTAATTTTATTTTTTTGTTAACATAGAACATTATTACATTTTTTGTCTATATATCCAATTCTTTTTTAATTTTTTAACCTAAAATAAAATTCTTAATTATTTGCTTCATTCTACTAATTTTTAAATATATTTTTGTTGCTTTTATCTAAAAATATAAATATTTTATTAATAATTATATTCCTTTTGTATTTTTCTTAAAAAAGAATTTATGTACTTTCAAAAAAAAATTTTTTTAAATATTTTTTTGCAAAAATAAATTATTTTTTAAATAAAATCTTTGCCCAATTTTTCATTAAAAATATTTAAATAAATTTTTATAATGCGTCAGTACCTCCAGGTATTTACTTTTAATCTGTTTTTACTTTTAAGATATTTCTACTTATCCATTAGTGACATTTTTGTCATTAAAATATTAATTTTTATTTATTTAAAATAATTTTTAAAATATTTTGTCTCCAAACAGAAAGATTAATTTAAAATGATTCTGTTTTAAATTAGTCTGAGTAATAAAATAATTGTAAACATGATGAATTTAAATTAAAATAAATTACACAAATATTTATTCTTTAGACTTGAAATTCTGACGTGAGAAATGAAATTGCAAAAATTTTAAAAATGAATTTTTTCGTTAAAAGTTAGGTTAAATTTAAAATATCATTAACCTCCCCCCCCCTGGATTATATACTTTTTTAAACAAATTTTTTTAAATCATCTCCAATTGTGTGCTAAAAAAGCAGATGGGATTGATAGAATAATTTAATTAATGTTTAAATAATTGATATAACTAAAGACCGGACAAAGACGAGATCTCGATCAAAAATCTTGGTTATCGAGATCGATATTTTTTCGAGATCCAATTCTCGTACACGCTCCCAGCCGATCTCTAGATATAACTAAATTTAACAAAAAAGTACTATTTTTTATTTTAAAATTTAAAACTTTAAAGAATTTTATATAAATTTTTATTTACTCATACATATGTAGATTCCTTGCAAGTCCAGACAAATAAAATTTTAAATAATTAATAGAGTTGGTATAAAATTTTTTTTAATTCCAAACTTTTGTCAAAAAGTTTTCTTCTAAAAATTAGTTTTATCACGTCAAATAAAAAAATATTTTTTAAAATTTAAGTTTTTTCTTATGATGAAATACTACATATTTTTTAATTTATTTTTTTATAATCTTCAGACATTTATTCTTCTTTTTATTTTAATTAATTTTTTAAATTAACTAAATTAATTTTAAATTTATATATTAAAATATATTTTTTAATTTTATTTTTTACTTTCCGTTATAGCTTAATCCTTTTTTTACTTTTATTTCCGTCTTTATAAATAACATAAATAAATAATATATTTTTTTATTAAAATAATTCTTTTTTTCCTCTCGTCATAAGTTTTTTTCATTAACTTAAAGGCCTTTATTGGGATAAAATATTTAAATAATTTATTTATTTTAATTAAAAATTTAAAATTAAATAAAGACTTTTTTAATTAATTAATAAATACAATTTTAATAAAATATATAATCTTTGTATTGTCTAAATTTAGATTTTTGTATATTAAATAAATTATTTAAATTAAAAAAGAAAGAAAATGTGTGATTGAAAAAAGGGTATTATACATATGTATCTAGAATGTTGCAAACCCAATTTTTTGAAGCGGGAGAGTAAAAGAAATATGAAATTTTGCGGATGAGGGTAGTCGGAAATGAAAGAAGCAACACCCCCTAGTATGCTTAAAATATTTAAATATTTTTTACAAAAATATTTAAAGACTTTGTAGCCTTAAAATATAACCAAAACTCAAATATTTAAATATAAAAAAAATATTTTATTCAAAATAAATCAAATAAAAAATGTTAAATTAAATAAGCTTGTTGTTATTTGCTTAAAATAGTTAAAGAATATGTCCAAAAATTATTTTTAAAAAATCTTTCAATTTCATAACTATTCAAAATTTTTAAAATTTATTTTTTTATTTCTATTTTTGGATATATTCAAATAAATAATATTATTTGTTATTTAAATATTTATTTTTTTCCTTTTTTTTATTTCATTTTCTTTGCATTTTAGCAAACAAAACAAATAAAATATCAGAAATTTCGTGTTTAATAAACATAAACTAACAAAAAATTTTCCAAAAAAGTCAAGTCTTACAAGAAATATTTATTTATTTATTTAGTTCATATTTCATTTAATAATTTTCTCATGACTAAAAATGATTAAAGAATATCTTGGAAATTTTGGGAAATAAAAAAGGAAATTTGAGTAGATTAATAAATAATTTATTTGTTCTTTTTATGATCATTGTTTTATTAAATATTCTTACAAAAACACGTGGGCATGAGAATTAACCAAAAAAATATTTTTGGAAAATGTTGTAGAAAAAATTATTTATTCCACGAAGATTGAATGTTTTCCTTGAAATTTTTATTTTTTTTGGAGGAAAATAAAGTATTAATTTGTAGGACCTTCCCATTTATTTTTAAACTTAAAAATTTTTATTTTAACTATTCCTTATTAGTTTATTAAAAAATATTTTTTCAATATATTTATATACATTTTTAACTAAAAATAGAAGAATTAATTTATAATTAGCCTATAATTAATATATTCTTTTGTGTTTTTCCGCTTAAACGAACTGACAAAAAATTTAAATAAAAGAATTATTTAAATCCTTTTCAGTATTTTGTGCTTAATTATAAATAGTTTTCCAAAGAAAATCATTAAATTCCGGTCATATATTTTTTAAATTAAAAAAAAAAGATTAAAATAGAAAATATTTTTAAAATATTTTTTTAATTATCTAATAATTTTTTGCAAGTCTATAGACAAAAGAATATATGTATCTACGCATTTTTTTCTCCGAGATTTTATTAATTCTTCGAATTTAGCAATATATAGAATGTAAAACTAAAAAATTTTTGGATTTTTTATTAATTAAATAATTTTGCTTCCTTAAAGCAATTGCTGTCTCAATTCCTAGAAACCTCACTTCTTCAATCCTGTCACTCTATAGGAAATCTACAATAATTAACAGTAATTAGCTTATTATCAAAATAAATAATGTTGGAGGGCCTCGAATCCGTAAATTTAGAATCCGCAAGTTTCCTGTCCGCAATTTAATAAATCTTTTCCCCGCCCCTGTACATATTTTAAAAATCCGTAAAAATGTTCCGCCCCTTTTTTGTTTGCCAAACATAAAAAGAAAGGGAGTATATAATTCCCGAACACATCATTCTTTCCCTCACATTTCGTGCCATCAGCTAATTTACTTTCATTTATTTTTTGCCTCTTCAGTTATCAAAAAGAGAAGAAGATCCTTCAAATAATCCTTTAAAATTATCTAAAGAATTCCTTTTAAATTTTTGTTTGAAAATTTTCACTAAACTAGTTGGGGACAAAAAACAAAAATTGAAAAAAAGCGGAAAGGGAAGGTGTGTTTACAACAAAATTTAATTCTTTTTTTTAAAACAATAAAAAATTTAAAGAAGCCGTAGCAAATATTTCCCCTTTTTTCAAGAGATAAGAAATATATTTAAATAAAAGAAAATATTTTTTAGCTTCTTAAAAAACGCCAATTTCATTTAATAAAGCCAAATAATATATTTAATCCTCTAAATAAAATCCTTAACAACATAAATATTTAAACAGAAAATTCCTTCATTTAAATAAAAGATAAAATAAATGATGGATACTCAAAGAATGCTCTTCTCTTTAAACAAATCTTTTGGAGGTTTTGGACGTGTAGTGTGTATTTGCCTGTTAATTCTGGCAATTAGGTAAATATCTATATTAACCATTAAGATATGATAGTAACTAATGGAGATCGAGTTAGGTCTGGACCAAGGCCTGGGTTTTTTCTGTACCCAGAGTACAGGGGCAGGCCCAGGATTTTCAAAAAATCTCTATCTACAGTAACTATATCACTGTTTAAATTACAATCATATCTTTTACAAATACATAAATACATTCCTAAAAGTTCCTGTTTAATATTGGGATCTTTTATTCCTCGGTAGTTATTTCTCATCCTTCTCCCTCCTCCCTCTAGACATGAGATCTAATAATAATTTGACAAAATTTCAATTAAAAAATCTCTAATTTCCCTTCTAGCACTGATGCTTTTGCTCCTCGTTCCTTCTTAAAGCGTAGCGATGATAAGGAACCTTCTGCTGCCGATGAAGCCCAATCACAACAACAAAAAATTCCAGCCAAACGTCTCTTTGCCCCACAAGAAAATCTTTTCTTCCAGCAACCACAAGCAAAGCGTTTTGAACTTGCTGATGGTTATTATGACTTCCCACAACAAAAACGTTTCGATTTTCTCGACAGTTTTTATGTGCCAGCTACTTATGGAGGGTAAATCAATTTAAACGAAAAAATATTTTAAAATTAATTTTTAGTTTGCCCGCCAAACGTTTTGATTCTTTTGGTTATGGACCTCGCCCAATGGCAGCATTTCTTTAAAAGAATGAAGAGTTAAAATATAAAAATTTACAAAGTTAAATCAAAAATTGTAAAAATTTCTAGTCTTTATAATATTATAATCTCATAATTTGTTTATGAATTTGGATATATGATCTCTTTTTATTATTAAATTTTTTATTTTTGATTTTAATAATTTATCGGAAACGAATTTTACTGTGTATGATTTATCAAAAAATAATTTTATCAAAGAATAATATAAAATAATTTTTCCATTAACACTCAAAATAGAAATTGTACTGAAAAAATAAAACTATACTTAGGGTATTTTAAAAACACCTTTCTAAATTAAAATGTCAGATATTCTTCAATTTATTTTTAAATAATTTATCAACATTAAAAATGTACTAGTATATCCACCTGTTATTTTAATTAGTATAATTTAAATTTTTAAAAAAGAAATAAGAGAATTCTCGTTAATTTATTTTCCATTATCTTTAAAAATCACGTCGAGTTTCCAAGTATCTAAATAATATAAAAATTTCTTTTTAGAACAAAAAAAGAAAGAAAACTTTAAAATGCATCAATTTGATTTTCTCTTCATTAAGCGAACACTTTCAATTTATTTTGTTAAACATTTCGTTGTCAAGCAATATTTTTGTGACTTCCTTTTCCGTCCATTGGGGATTGTGAAAAAGAATGTCACCCCCGTTATCCGCTTTTATTCAATTGAATAAAAATCTTTACATTTTGATTGTGTGACAAAATGATGAAAGATCTTTCTTTTTTCAACGAAGAACAAAAAATATATTTATTTTATTGTCTCAAAGGAATTTTGTTTTCTTCTTTTACATTTTTTATTTCTATTTCCGATTTTAAATTTTATTAGGAAAAAACACAGCACAAATTGTGCATTAATCGGAAATAAAAATAGAAGGTAAACTTATTATTTTAAGTGAATAACTTTAAAAATATTCTAAATAAAAATTATTATTTCTGCAAAAATATTTTAAAGACAAAATTTTAAATCTTATAAAATCGAGGGTCTTCAAAGCTTATCTTTTCATGTGAAGCTTTTCACCTACATAATCTAAATATCACATTTTAAATTAAATCCGAATTAGTATAACATTTAACTTGATAAATTTACACAAAAATGTAATAAAAGCCTATTAGATAAAAATTCAAAACACTTAATACATAAATTATAATGTAGTCCAATCTCGTTATGGTATACTCATCCCTAGTGTATAAAAATCAGTTTAGTGTAGTGATTAACAAAGGGTTGGGGGTAGAACACATATTTAGCACAAACACCCACTCAACCGTAGTGTATGATTTTTCATTCCCAAACACTATAACGAGATTAACTATATTGGTACTTAAATCCTGGAATGGCAGAATAAATATTTTAGGTAAACGTTTAAAATTGGTAATGCAGATAAGTTGGTTCACAAGTTTAAGGATAAAATTGAGACAATTTTTGGTATTAAAATGCAAATTTAAAAACGAGTTTCACAACATTTATTTTTACATAATAGAGCAACTCTTTTTCTTAGGCGTTTGTTCAGTTGATATATTTGAACCAATATCTCTAACCCGTTGTTCATCTAAATATATTGAAGCTAAATCAACACCTACACCCGCACAAAGATCCGGATGACCACTAGGTGGGAGATCCATACAACCAACAGTAAAAGGCTCTGGAGATTTTGACATCTTTTGAATATTTCCTCGAAATTTAATTTGTTCCGCAACAGTTGTAGGACTTCGCATTGGACGTGAACTAAAAAGTTCGACGATATTAGAAAAACGAAAGGATAAAAACAAAAGCAAAATTCAAACAGTCGGACCTCAATTTCATTTTTAGGGTTGAAATTTTTTACTTCCAAATAAGGTGTGGTGCCTAGAATAGGGTGAGAGATATTCAACAAAAATTTTCTCAATGAATTTGATAACGAATATTTTGCTAAAAGAAAAAAATTAAACATTTATATTAGAAATTATATTAGAAATATGTAGATTATAAATTTAAAAATGTATCAATTTTTAGTTGTTTGAGCGCATTAAAATGTGTTTTAAGTAAAATATCTGCCAATTCATCAACTGAATAAATTCTTTCGTCAAGGTCATTCTCTTGGCAATATTTTATCAGCTTTATGCAATATTGACTTGCTTCTGAATCAGTTATCAAACTTGCATCAGTGAGAATGCTTGCAACAGAATGACGTTTTTGCATGGACATTTTTGAAGAGCTTTATTTAAATAAATAAAGTGAGAAAATAAAAATAAAGAAAAACATTTCACTTAAAAATATAGTTCTACAGACAGTAACTACAAAAATTGAGCTCCGACTGTATGAATAAAATAACATAAAATTTAAAAACTGACCTGGTATTTAGAACTGGAACAAGACGTTTATTAACTTTATGTCCTTCACTTGCAGTTTTTTCTTGTTTATTTGACTTTTGAGCTTCTTGCTTTTGAGCTTCTTGCATTAAAACAGCTTGGTGCTTCTTTTCCAATTTTTGTACACTTTTTGATTTTTTAAAGTCCCTTCTATTGTTGGATTCAGATCTGACAGAATTCGACATTTTTGGTTCATCTTCGTCTTCAGAAATAATATCATCGTTAAATGTTCCATTACTTAAATAAGGTCGAAGATTAGAAGGCTTACAGGAAGCAAAATGTTTTGCCCAGAATTCTGTTCCAGCTTCATCATCGTCAGAAAGCCACTCTTTACTTTCATCATTATTTTTATTTTCTTTTTGTTTATTAAGAGATTTGTTTGATTCTTTTGGTTTATTTTCAGTAGTATCATTACGCGTTTTGAAGAGTGGCGTTGGGTGTACTCCATGCAATTTACGGGGTGGGCTTGCTTAAATTTAAAAAAATTTCAAATTAAATTATTTTTTTCTTACATTTATTTGAAGAAGGTAAATCATTCAAATCATCCTCCAAATTCGATTGAGAAGGAACAGATTGTTTTAGTCGGGGCCCAGGTCGTTCAACTCTGGCGGTTAAATCAGAATTAATACTATCCATTATTGTTTTCTTAAAGTTATCCATTTCCTCAGCATCGATTTCACGGCCATCTTCTCCAGCAAATTTATCAATCGTTACGGCATCATTTGCAATGCAAAACTGAATAAATCTGATAGAGAATTAATTTTAATTAAAATTTCAAAAAATGCAAAACTTTTTCCAATAATTCTTTTTATTATTTGGATCCAAAACATTAATAAAAGCCTGTGAAACAATAACAACCAATAATTCCTTGGCTCGAGTAAATGAAGTATTAATTCTCTAAAAAGATTAACATAAAATTAGGATTGTAAAGAAAATAAAAATTCTACTTTATATTCTGAAAGAAATCCAAGCTGTTCTGATCTTGACAAACTAATTATTATAACTCTACGCTCAGAGCCTTGAAAGCACTCGACAGAATCAACTGTAATATCCTTACGTCGACAAAGTAATTCACGAATTTTTGAAGTCTAAAATATTTTTAATTTTTGTTTAAATCCCAAATTAATTTGAAAAACTCACCTGTTGTTTATAGGGACTTATAACTCCAATATCAGAATCTTTAATATCACCCATTGTTTTTTTGATCAGATCAATATATTTTATAACAACATCAACTTCTTCCAAATTGTGAAATGATCGTCCACCGTCTGCTTGACGAACCTCAGCACCCTTAGAAACAACATGAAGAATTATTGGAAAATTTTTGCGTGGCAAATATCTCCATTGACAGAATCCTGTTCTTTCTTCTCCTCTAACAGCCATTAACTCGCCAGAATAAAAATTGTTTGAAGAAAATTCAATAATGCTTGGATGGCATCTGTAGCTTTCATTTAGTTTGCAGAAAGTACGCCTTAAATTTTTTTAATGAAAGTTTTAAGGAAAAATCAAAAAATTTAACCCACCCGTCTGTATAAACTCTTTGCTTAATCGCTGTTGTCAATAATCGTTCCATTAAAGAACAACATGTTTGCTTATGTACTTTCAAAAAATAAGGCTTACAAATAGCACCTAATAATTATAAAAATAATTAAAAATATTAAAATAATTAAGGTATTACCCAATTGTTGATAATCACCGCAAAGTATAACTCGAGTATTTTCGGTAGCAAATCGTGTTATTGGAATTAATGTTTCAGGCTCAAAGGATTGACTGGCCTCGTCGATAAATATATGACTAAAAATAATATAAAATATGGGTAGATGAAGAAATAAGGAATTCTGTTAGCTATAAATGGATTGAAATCTGTTCCCTGGTCTATTTCAAATTTAGAGAAGAGGTTTGTGAGTTAGAAACATGGCCCAAACTTTTATTAAATTTAAATTTGTAAAGCTAACGAAAAGAAATCTGGTTCGGTTATATTTTCTTCTAAATAAGCAGAGCAGGCAAGTGTTGAAAAAATTAAACGAATGTTTAGTTGAATAATCTCCTTGTAGGAATCCAAACCAAAACGATCATCAGTTATTCCATATAAAGCGCAACTGAAAATTCAATAAGCCGGAAAAAGAGAAAACAAACTTTTCAATTTTAATTATTTTGTCCAAATCCTTATCTCGATCATTAACATTTTTACCAAGACTGTAATATCGTCTCATTTGAGTTGCCGGAAGTATACCCATCTGATAAATCCGTCTAGCAATTAAATCGGCTGCCATATTTGAAGGCGTACAAATTAGAATTCGATTTGCCGGATTCTTTTCCAATAATTGTTTAATACTAGAAATGGTAGAAGGTAAGAAAGATTTCATTGTCAGAAAATTATCTAAACCATTCAATAATTGTAACAGTCTTGCCAGTTCCTGGTGGCCCCCATAATACAAAAGGAACAGTTCCATGTACTCCTCTAACAATGGAATAAATTGCCTGATTTTGCATTTTGTCGAATTTATTTTCTACTTGACTGCAGACTTTTTTGGATACCTTTTTCTCAAAGTAGTAATTAAATTCTTTTTGATAATCCTCATAAGAGATCTAAAAGGAATTTAAATTGTTTAAAACAATAAGATTTTGGATTAAAATTTAAAAAATTATTGTCTAAAATATAACAAGTAAATATAAAAATACCAAATTTCCTGCATCTGGGAAAATAGTAAATCTTGCTCTTCCACTTTTAAGAAGCTCCAATGAACGCAAAAAAGATCTATACTGTCGGTCATTAAATTCAATATTAATTGTATATTTTTGACGTTGATCAAAAAGAATTTGACCCTTATTATCCTCAAAAGTAACATCTATCGTCCTGTCATCCTTGTTGATGAAAGTTATAGCACCCTAAATAAAAAATGATTAAAAAAACAAAAAGCAACTTTACGTACCAAATGTCCATCAATAACGACTTTAGCATAACTAACTAATTCATCCATTGTACTTTCTGACAATTTAAATTTGTAGACTCCATAGGAAGAAGTGTGTTTCTGTTTAACACCTTTTGAGTTAATTGCTGGTGGACGACGATGTTCGATATATCTAAAATTATGAGAAGAATAAATTTAATTTAAATAAAACACTCACACCACAGTTGCGTTCTCCATAAATTTTTCTTCAAGATCAATCTGAAAAATTAATTTAAATTCAAACATTGATAAATAAAACCTTTTCATTTGCAAAGAACAGGTGGACAAAATGTTGAAATTTTTCAATGTATTGTTCAATCTCTGGAGTAGCATTAAATTCCATTTGCAGATATGAAATAGCATCCTGAATGAATTAAATAAACAGGTGAACAAGTTGTCTGATTTTATTTATAAATTATTTAAATATTCCTGCCATGTAAAGCTGGTTTAGATCTTCCCAATATTTTTCAGACATCGTAGCAGGTCGACTTGTTGGGAACTTCATATTCATTTGTGCAAGTTTTTTATACAAGTCGGCAAGTCCAACATCCACATTAATTGGTGTAGTTTTGAAAGACATAATGAAGGCCTAAAAAATAAGAAAAAATGAAAGAAAAATGGCTAAATCTTGAGATTAAAAGCAAGAAAATGCGAGAAATGAAAGCAAAGATTAATTGTAATCACATCATGCTTACTGATTTTAATCTTAAGTGAAAAAGTAAATGTCTCGCCAAAAAAACAGAAAGTTTTCCCAATGAATCAAATCAGGGCTGTGCGTCATGGCGTTTGGCGTTTGGCGTTTTGCGTTTTGGCGTTAATTTTGGCCTATTTTTGGCGTTTTGCGTTTGGCGTGATTTTCCGGTTTTGGCGCGCCAAACGCCAAAAATATACACCCCTAATGATGGAATTTTTTTAAATAAATGGAGAAAGGGATGATCGAAAAAGGAAATTTTTCTGCGTACAGTCATCCAAAATTCTCAAAATTTTTGCCTGCGGCGCATAAAAAATGAAGAAATCTACTGCTTGGACTTCCAAAATTTAAAAATTTACGCCTGCGGCGCTTAAAGGAGGAAGCCCTTATCTTAAACTAATAGATGGTAGAAGTAAAACTTTAGTCCCGTCAATCGTTTACTCTCTTCATGACCTCTGTTATACTCATAACTCCCTTTATCCCTTCATATCCACCTTAATCTCAAGGAGTTCTATGAATTTCTTATTTTTTTAAATTTTTTAAAGGATGAATTTCGGCTTCTTTGCCTCCAAAATTCTCAAAAATTTCGCTCCGGCGGTAAAAAAGGATGAATTCTGGCTTCTGGGAAGCTTGAAAATTCAAAAAATTTCGCCTGCGGCGCTAAAATGAGATGAACAGTGGGTTTTGAGTCTTGATAGTCTCTAAAAATTTTGGCGTTTGGCGTTTGGCGTTTTGGCGTTGATTTTGGCCGATTTTTGGCGTTTGGCGTTTGGCGTGTTTTTAAAATTTAAAAAATTGGCGTTTGGCGTTTGGCGCGCCACGCGAAAATTTTGGCGCACAGCCCTGAATCAAATAACATCAATTAGACTCTAGTGGACGTGTTAGACGGCGAGAATTTTTAAGAAATAGTGCTTGTATTTTAATTGATTTTTTCGATTTATGGGACGAAAGAGTCTAGCACTAGACTTTTTTGATTCATCGAATTGATCTATTTCACGTCAGCCTGAAAATTTCTTTTATTTTTTAGAATGAATTTAGCAGTAAAAAATGAAAATGTTATTACAAATGGTTCTACAAACTCTACAACTGAACAGGATGGAAAGGTTTTTCATTTTTATTCTTTTTTTATTTAAAATACTTTTTTAGGTTTTTGTCGGACCGGGCGCGAAAAAAGAGGCTGGAATTGTCGGTTTAGGTTTAAATAAACTACGTTCTTTTCAAATTATTGATCTGGAAAGGGCCAAGAAATATGCAATTGATCAGTCCATTAGGTTTGTTATGGAAAAGCAAAGAATGGCACATCAACAACAGGTCAGTCTAAACAATCTATAGCTTTTTTTATGCTTACGACTTAGTTTAACTAACTGCAAAGAACATTTTTCAGCAACAAAAAGTCGCTCTTTACTCTCAAGCATTGGCTTTAATGTCCAGAATTTATATTGGGTCAGTCAATTTTGATGTGTCCGAAGATCAAATTCGCACTGTTTTTGGCATTTATGGACCCATCAAAAATGTTAATATGTCTATTGATCCAACGACTGGGGTAACTTTTTATAGAATTTGATAATTTTGAAAATTCTAACGTTAAATTTTGTGAAGTCTCTTTTTGGGTTTATTTAAAAATTCTCATGAATTTAATTTCACTTATTTTGTAGAACCACAAAGGATTTTGCTTTATAGAGTACGAAGTACCGGAAGCTGCTTTTCTTGTATGTTTAATAAAAAGGCAATCCTCAATAAAGTACACGCATTGAAAACTCTCACAAAATTGGCTCATCTTCAGCGTTTATCAGCCGGCTTATAAATTTATAAGTAAATTAATTTGCTTTCTTGCTCTTTTTTTATTTTCAGCTCGACTACAAGGCATGATGAAATTAACGCCAGATTCATTCAGCCGTTCGGTTATTCCCATTACCCTATTTTCTTGCATAAGGAGAGTTTTCATAGTGCATTTTTTGAGGATTGTTCTCGTTAATTTTATAAATTTTGGTAATTTCAGGCCATTGATGCAATGAATGGAAAATTTCTGGGTGGTAGAACTATCAAAGTTATGCCGGTATTGCATTTTTAATCGGGACTTTATTCTCACGCTTATTGCTAGGTCGGACGTCAAGATTCCACCCCTCAAGCACAACCCATAATTGATATGGTTATGACAGAAGCACGGCAATATAACAGAGTTTTTGTTGCATCTGTTCATCCAGATATAACTGAACAAGACTTGCGAAGTGTTTTTATGGCTTTTGGGGAAATAACTAAATGCCAACTAGCTAAACATCCAATCTTGAAGCGTCACAGGTTTTTTACATTTAAAAATCTTTCTTAAAATTTTTAGGGGATTTGGTTATATTGACTTCAAAACTAGCGCATCTGTCAAGGAAGCAGTAGAGGGGATGAATGGATTCGATTTAGGAGGTCAAATCTTAAAGGTAGGACGTTGTGTAACTCCACCTGACGCCCTTCATTACTTGAGTTCTGGTGGATCAACTTCAGCACTACCGGCCGCTGCCGCCATTGGTTGCTTTTATCTACGTTTTTTATCGATATTATTTTTAGCTGCTGCTGAGGCTACGGCAAGGATCCATGCGCAGGAAGCTTCAGGAAGGTCATCTTCGCCACGGATATCAAATAGCCCACCGTATGGGACTTCCACGACAAATCGTGCCCTTCCAGCACCACCATCAGCGCCTCAAACTGGTCCTTTTCCATGTAAAAAATTATTTTATTTCAAATTTTCAGCACAAAAGTCTACATCATCCTCCGGAACGAGTTCGCAATCTACAGGTCGTCGGAGAGGTTTTGGTGGTTTTGCTGGTTCTGTTCAACCACCGGCTATTGTTCTACCCTTACCTGCAGTATCAATTACACAACCGAAGTCTACTTCATCAAATGCTTCTGGTGTTACAACTCCTGCTGTAACTGCACCCGGACTTGTCATTCCACAACTTGGAAGCAAAGAAACAGTTGTTTTTCTTTGATATAATAATAATAATTAATTTGTTCAGGTAGCTACTTCACAAATTAAAATGGAAGTAGATTTACCTGAGGTTAAGAAAGAAGTAAACGAACCTCAACCTAAAAACAATCTTGAATCATCCCAGATCAAAGAAGATGTTAATGTACCTCAACCCCAAAAGGATATAAATGTTGATTCATTTTATTCTGCTTTGAATGATGACACATTTGAACCGCCTAAATTAGCTATTCCACCTCAATTACTACAAACAGCTGCTGAAAATCAACCTGAGCAACAAAAAGCAAAAAAGCCGAAACTTGATTTTCTTGATCGAATTGGAGAGAAGGTTAAATCTAAATTTGTTTCTTTTGATCCAAGTAAGCCGGCATCTTTTTTGCCTTCAGTTCCAAATACTTCGAAGGATTCAGATGATGAAGGTTGATTTTTAAAAAATCTAACATAAGAATAATTTGGAAAATTAGAACCGCCAGAAACTCAATTGGCAATTGGCGGTCCTGAAGCTTGGACAGCTTTGGCTATTCGCGAGGATACAACTATTGCAAAAACAAAGACTGAAGTTGCTCCAAAACCTAAACAAAAAACCGATAAGAATAAACAAGTTGCTCATAGAAGGAAAGGAAAAGGCAAAAAGACAAAATATTCTTCTGGTCCGAAGGTTTGAGAATGTTTTTAAAATGCTTTCCTATTAATTTACCTTTCCTTTTAATTATAGTTAAACACGGCCACAAAAATTGCAGCTGCAAACGTTGCAGGAGCGCTCAGTGATCAGCTGCAAACACAAAGAGAAGAAAAAGGCGAAGAAGCTTCTTTGGCTTCTCAAGAACATGTACAAATTCGTGGAAATGATGCAAGACATTTATTGATACAAAAATTGATGAGAACAAATCGGTCGTCAGTAGTTTTGTTAAAGAATATGGTTGAGCCAAAAGATGTGGATGAATTTTTGGAAGATGAAATAAAGGAAGAATGTCAAAAATATGGAACTGTTACTGATGTTAGTATAGTTTATTTTAAAAATATTTTTCATAGAGGACAGCGGGGACGTGAAGGTGACGCACACCTCCATAATTAGCCTCTTTGAAATCCGGCCTCTGGATACCCCCTCGGAGGATAGGTGTAACACGGCTGGGTGTATGTCATTTGACAGCTTAATATTCCCTGTTAGAACTTGTTACGATTAACTAAAAACTAAATAACTTCACTTATGATCCAATAAATTTAAGTATTTTCTAGGTTGTAATTGTCCAAGAAGAAGACACACAAACAGTTAAAATCTTTGTCAGATTTTGTGAACCAACACAGGCAGATGAAGCAAGGAAAGCTATTGATGGACGTTATTTTGATGGACGAACTGTTTGTTTACTTTTTACTAATTTGAAGTTTTTGTTATTTTAGGTAAGTGCACAATCATATGACCAAGTACTGTTTGATCATGATGATTTTACTGGATAAAAACTGTACCTTCTAATCTTTGTTTGAAATTCGAATTCTTCTAATTTAAGTAATATTATATTATGATTTTTGATTCTTGTGGTCATTTTTATATTGTTTTTAAGTATTTTTGCAAGTGAATTTGATAATTTGATTTAAACTCAATTAGTCTGTGATTTTTTTGGTTCTTCACTATTTCCATATTCCGTAATTTTTTTGACTTAACCAAATGTCGTTAGAATTTAGCAAAACTAACTCATCAATAATTTTATACAAAAACAATAATAAATACTGATTAGAACAATTTCTGGGATTTAAAAGTTTAAAAAACGGTAGACTGTTGATGTAACTTTTTAACTGACATTGTTCTTCTGTGTTGTTGGAAACAGCCAAAACCAAGTAAATCACGAAAACAACGTCGGAAATCTGAGTTATACATTGTATAAATTATTGGATTGAGCACAGAATTTGAATAGCCAAGCCATAGAAAAAATTCTGCTAGCACTTGAAATTCGTGTCTACTGAAAAGCTTGCTCCGTTTTTGCAGAGGAGATACTTCCAAAATGTAAACAACAAAAAAGGGGCACCAACAAAGAATAAAACCTGAAAGAATAACACATATAGTTTTCAATAAATCCTTTAACTATTCAGGATTAGTGGTTTAGCAAAAGTGCTTCCTTCCGAGAGGAACAAAGAATAGTAATACTTTTTTCACTTGGTAAAGTACTACAAATCATTTTTAAGTTTTCAATTTCTTACCAAGTACTACAATTCCAATAGTTTTGAGTGCTTTTCTCTCTCGTAAATAAACGATTTTCTCTTTTGAGCCTCTCAAGTTTGCATTTTTTGTTGTAAAATGAGGAACAACTTGTGGAGTATGTCCAATTAAAGTGTCAGTTTTCATATTAACACCATAACTATTTTGCTGGCGAAGAGGTTGGCGGGCGCCATTTGCAAGAAGAAGGCGATCGGGTGGATGTAGATTTTGTTGTAAACTGTCCCGTCGTTCCGGGCTGTTATCGTCTACTGGATCTGCACTGTTTTTGCGGTATTTACTTGATTTACGGCCTCCTTCGATTCCAAAGGTGTCATATTGCTAGGAAAGCAAAAATTAAGTTTATAATGAAAGAATGGTCCCTAAAGAGCTAAATCCAGTAATCATCTGGATTTAGAACCAAGGTTGAAGAACGTGATTTTTTTTATCTTTAATTCTACATATTAGTTTAAATTTTCTAAAATGCTCAAAAAAGTCGAGAACAAAAAACCGGAAACCTTAAGAAAAGTTTTGAAAGAGTCTTGGACACCTCTAGTGAACATTTTCTACTAGGTAGGTTACAAGTAAAAATTATGTAAGTAAATTTCTTACCCCGCTGCCCAAACACTCCATTGACTTAATTTTGCGTCTGAACGAGTCTGAACCTCCAGAACCCTTTGCACGATCTACAGCTGCAGCCACTGTCCGATTTATAGGCCCACTGTTGGATGCTAAACCTTTTCCACTATTTCTTGCTGAAGTTGGACAACTTGTTTCAGCAGAACAACAACTACTTAATTTATCTCCTCCATCACCCCCTTCTGTTGTATTTTCGTTATTTAAAAGATTTTGTCCAGCAGAGGATGAACGACGTTCTTCTTGATTTAAATAAAAATGTTCACAAGAAGAAACTGGACGATTTGTTGGTATTATATGATTATTGTTTATATTAATATTATTTATATTAGCTAGTGTTACTGGAGAACAATGATTTAACCTTAAAAATATTTTTTAAATATTTTTGATTTTCGGACACAAACATACATATTTTGTTGCTCCTTTGCTTGCCCTGGAAAAACAGTTTTTGTTGTTGGCTGAGCAATTCCTCCTCTGATTCGAGGTACTGAGGAACTGAAATGATAAAAATGAGAACTTAAAAATATTAAAATATTAAAATAGCAATTTAGCTTTTTATGTGAAAGCTGAACTTGGCTAATTTTTTCCATCATTTTATTATTTTTTAATTAATAGGTAGATTTTCTTTATCTAAGTTTTTAACTTTAAATACCGGTGTGTATAATTAGTAGTTGCACTTCTTTTTCTGCCTTTCATTTGTGTTTTTTCAACTCTTCTGCTTAATCGGCAAGTACCCATACCTTCTCGAATAAGGCGTTCACGTTCAGAGGCAACACGAAAAATTTTGAAGTAAACAAACAGCATAACCTTAAAATTTATTCATATATTTTTCTAATTTTGTATTTTTATTTAATTCTCCTTTAAGCGGGGATACTATTAATCAAATTAAGAAAATATTTAATTTACCATAAGAGGAATATAAAAACTGCAAGAGGCACTGTAAATTCTATAAGAGACAGACATCGGATAAGCACATTGATATCCACTAATTACATGTGCTGTATTAATATTTTCAACTCCAATTCCCTCTGAAAGACTTCGAGTTTTTGTTCTTTTTGGAGGAATAAAAATGACAGAAGATTTTGAATCAAAAGAGATAGACCATTCATCAATAAACCAAGGAGGGGAACAAACAACTAAAGACATTCCCCAAACAAAACATAAAAGTGCAAAAGCCATCCAACGACTTCTTGTTCTTGGATATCTTAGAGGGCTTGTAATTGCCATATATCTAATAAATTATTATTTTAAAATATATTGAGGTTTTGACTTTATTTTACAAGTATAGAGTCTTTCTTATCCAATTAGATAATTGATGGAAATAATAGTAGGGAGTAATAATAATGTTTGATAAAGTTGGAAAGATTATTTTTTTGGAGATAGATACTTTGTGATTATAGTATATATGGCTAAGTCAGAAATTAAAAATAATCTTGTAAATAACCCCATATCTTAACAGGAATACATGTATAGGGGAGATAAAAGGCTATAGATTCCGATCTTTCTCGGGAACCCTCACTACAAAAATATTTTGGGATGCAATTAAGGTTTTAATTTGAATACTTTATTTTTAGAATAATATATAAAAATTTTTCTCAAGATTTCCATTAAAATTTTTACCTATCAAGAGAGATAATGCACAAATTAAGAATTGATGCTGTACATAATAAAATATCAAAAGTTGCCCAAATTCTACAAGTTACAATCCCCAAAGGCCAGCTATGTGCATGTAATAAATCAAGTAATGCAAGTGGCATAATTAATAAACCAACAAGTAAATCTGCGGTAGCTAATGAAGTAAGTAATAAATTGGTAAATGTTCGCATTCTTTTGTATAAACAAACTGAAAGAACAACTAATATATTACCCAGCACCGTTGCCAGAATTAGGATAATCTGAAAAAAAATAATATTTTTTTGAATTTGGAATGGATTTAAAAAAATTTTTTAATTCAAATTATTTCTAGTTAAAAATTTATTTAAAAAATATTTACAAAAATCGGTAATTTTCAGTATAGGACCGCAAACTGAGAGCCCGTCGAATTTGACCGGCTATAGTTTTGCGCTTGATCCAATACAATTGATTTTTTAACATTCGAGAGCTCACGATAAGCGATGTCTTTTTTCTAATGGGATAGATCAAATCTGATGACTCCTTAAAAGGTTAGAACCAGATAATTTATAACCGCTAAGTTATTTGAAGTTTAACACATTTATCGGGGTATAACTTTTTACCTTTGCGGTCGTATAACGGAAAAGTACAAAAATCGGTAAAAAAAATTTTTTAAAAAAAAAAAAAAATCGGTAAAAAAAATTTTTAAAAAAAAAATTTTTTTAAAAATGAAAAAATTTTTTAGAAAGATAAATTAATAAGATTTTTTTTAATTTCGGAGGGATAAACTGTTTCTAATCTTTTATTCCTTAAAATTTCCCAAAATTTAAAGATACCAAAACAAAAGCGATAAAAACATCAGTAAAACCAAGGCACACTCCCCCTCCACTACGTTCTCCATTAATCTTTCCTCCATTTAAATTATTTAATGAATTTTGTTGTTTTAAATGTTCGGAATTAGAGGAAACGGAAGCAAAAATAAAAGAATAAAAATTAAAAAGAAAAATAGCCAAAATAATAATCATTTTTTAAATTAAATATTAAGCACCCTTTTATGGCAATTGGTGGAAGTTGTAGTGGTGAATTAATTATTAAAAGGTAAAAATAAAGAAGAAAAGGCCAAAAAATAATTATTTTAGCATTAAAAACCACAAAATAATTTGAAAAGCTTAAAATTTAAATAAAAATTATTTTATTTTTAAAAAATAAATTTATTTATTTTTTCATAAAATTAAAGAAAAGTTTGTAGTTTTTGTAAAAAAAAATTTAAAAAATTTAAAAAGTAAAATTAAATAGTAAATAATATTTATAAATATTTATCAAGCGAATTATTAGCGAATTAATGATTTAGAAATATTTAATGAAATTTTTAATTTTAATTTTTAGTTTTTGTTGTTAAATTAAAAATATTTAATTTAAAATATTCAATAAATATTTAACAAAATTGTTTCTTTTATTTTTAAATACCTAAGAAAATTTATGTTCCTATTTTAATCTAATAAAGTATTTTTTCAATCAAAAATCCCTCCACCATTCCTTAATTATTCTTTTAAAAGGTCTTTCTTTTGAAAAATATTTCAAAAATTAATAAAGGAAAAGATAATTATTTCTGCATAAAAAGGAACTTAAAAACAATTTAAAAATTATTTTTTTAAACTTTTATTTTTAAATTTCCAAAAATCCAACAGAGTAAAACAATATAAAAATTCTTTGTTTAAAAAATAATGAAATGCCTAAAATGACGTTTTTGTTAAAAATAAATTGATTTGTTGGTAATTATTAGTACAAAATTGAGAGTTTTAAATGAATTTTTAAAAATGAAAAAATTTTTTAGAAAGATAAATTAATAAGATTTTTTTTAATTTTTAGAGAAATTTTCAATCTAAAAAATATTTTTTTATTTAAAAAATTTGTTTCTGAATTTCAGTAGTTAACCCAACACCCGAGTCATCAGGGGCAGAGGGGTCCACAAAATTAATCCCTAATTAATTTCATGTAGTTAGTACAATAATTAGACCCA